TTGAGTTAACTTTGAGTTTATTTTGTGTTTACCTCACGTGATTTATATTGAGAATAATCCTTCGACGTTATTGTGAAACCTCACCCGTAATTCCTTGAGTAATTGTCTTAGTTTTATTTACCCCTTTTGAGATTTTATTTGAAGCCACGAAACTATCGTGATAACAATAATGTCAAAGTTTATTCTCAATATAAAAATACATAAGATAAATACAAAAATAAATACAAAGATAACTCAAAGATATTTCAAAAATTATGCTTCAGAAACTCTAAGTCAATATAGTGAATCAATATAATATTATACAATAAGTTTACTAATAATAATTTAAGAAATTGTACAAATATAAAAAAAGGACACAAAATAATTCATAATAGGTTCAAAGGATTGCAAAGGATAAGTTTTATACTTGATTAATTATACTTCTTTATTAATATATAAGTTTAGTATCTAAAAGATTAACATCTCATTAGTAATGAAACTTAAAGAAAATGTAGAGATATTTATACATATTTAATAATTAATAAAATAAATTAAAATAAATATATTAAAGGAAATAAAGTTACCACTTCATTAGGTAATAAAATTGCCAGATTTGTAGGCAACTAAATGGATATTTATAATCTACATGATTATTAAAGGGTAATAAAATTGATATCTAGAGATTTACATTATAATCGATATCAATAAAATAGATAAAGTGATCTTTTTAAAGATCTATATAACAATAAAATTGACTTCATAATCTACTAATTAAATCTATCTAAAATTTTACCAGCCTTTATGTTTAGCATTTTATACTTTTGTTTAATTAATATTTTAAACTCTATAAATACTAAGTACTAAATTCTAATTAATTAAGATTATACAAATTATAAAATTAAAATAAAATAATAAATATTATTATATATGCAAAATTAAAAGTTAAAACAGTAAAAATGAAATTATTGTAAAGTGTAAAAGAAAAGATTTTGAAGGAAATGTATTTAAAGAAATATATTAAAGGCAAATATGCTATTTAAGAATTTTTAGCTCAGTATATATATATAAAAAAAATTAAGTTAGTCTGAAATCTTAAACATTTTATCATACTAATATCTTGATATACTAATATTATATCAGCCTGGTAAATGATCATCAAAAAGACTAATTATAAATATCAAAAGTGATTTTTATATAGAATTATAAAGATTTCAGTCAAAATTAATCATAATAATAGATTAAAATTACATAAATATAAATTTTATCAAAATTGATTTAATATTTAAGTAAATGTTGAAAAAAAGGACCAAGTCAAAAATTTTTTCAAAAAATTGTTTTTATGTAAAATTAAATCTGATCATCTTATCTGATCCAGAATTTTTATTATTTGAAAAAATAATTTTTTATGATTTGGTCTTTTTTTCCAGCACTTATCCCATTTATTGAGTAATTATATTAATTTCTAAATTTTTTTATTTTTTTGCTATAAATATACTTTAATGTTAATTAATTTTAATAATGTTAAAATTAATTATATCAATTTGATATTTATTATAATTTATTAATAAAAAAATTTTTTCTATCAAAATATAATTTAATTAGTAATTCGTCAATTCGTATTGAAGTATAGCTATAAATTTAACTGTTTATTTGTATAATTTATTAAATATTAAAATAAATGTATATTACTTATTTATAGAAAAATGTATTTAATAAAGTATTTAAAATTATTATTTTATTTTATTATAAATTAATATTTTAAATAAGTTTTTAAAAAATTTTTTAATTTTATTGTATTTTTAAACTTTTATAAATTACATTTATATTATATTATGCAAAATTTATTTTTTTTCAAATAAATATTTTTTTTTATATAAATTAATAAAAAAAAAGAACTAATATTTGATTAAAAAATTTATTTATTATATTATATCTTTACTATTATTATTTATTAATAAAATTGAAAAATTTATAGTAGAAATTTAAATAAATATTATTAAAAAAATTATATTTAGTTAATAAAATAAAATATTTTTTTTTTGATAATTTTTTCTTTCTAATACAATATGCTTATATAATTATTTTTTATATAATATTAAGATAAAACTTATTTAAATAAATAATAAAATAATAAAATTTTATTTATTTTCTATTTTTTTTTTAATTTATTAATTTTATATTATTAAATATTAAAAATATAAATCAAATATATATTCAAATATACAAAAATTTTAATAATTATTATATAATATTTATAAAAAATAATAAAAAATATAGTAATAAATAATTTAAACTTTATTTTTTAAAAATAAGTATAAAAATTAACAGCTTATTAAATTTTGAAAAAATATATTTTTTATATAGTTAATTTTTTATTCTTGTATTAAATAATATAAAATTTTATCAAGTAAAATAAATAATATTGATATAATATTATATTAAGAATAATATATCTTTAAATAATAATTGATTTAAGTATCAATAATAATATTTGTTATAATATATTATTTATATAAAGAATTTCTGAATTAGATAGTTTATTACTTTATATTAAATTAAGTAAAGTTTTTATTAAAATTACTTTTTTTTATTTAATGATTATTAAATATTAGACCTTCGGTAGAACTTATGCTTTAAAAATATAAGAACAAGTTTTAATAAAATATAGATTACATACATGCTTAATAACAATAATAATTAATACAATATTAACAAACAAATTATAATTTATATTTATGATACTATATAATATAATTTATAATAAATTATCTTGTAAAATATCTAAAAATATTTTACAACACATTATAATTTTATTTCAGTTTAATTTCAAACTTTACTATTAAAATAAGGAATTATAGGCAAGTATATAAGTAATTAATTTTAATTCTTTATAACATAAATGTCTTTAATAGATTAATAACTATTTGAATATATAAAAAAAATTAAATTCATTTTTCCTGAATATATCATAGAATAAAATTATTAACAAATGATTTATTATTATCAAGCAATAATTATATTATTTAAAAAAGTCGTTCTTATACCTGATCATTCAAATTAATTCTTATAAAGTTTATATCTAAAGATTCAATTCCGTTACTTGAATTTTTAGAATTATTTCTTGTAAATCCACAATCAAGGATTCTGATATTATCAATAATATTCATTAATATATAAATAATTATAATAATTCAGAAAAATTTATTTACCTGAAAAATCTGTGGCAGTTAGAGAATGTCGTTCAAGAAGATCTTTAACATCTAAACGTTTACTTGTAAGTACATGTGTTAAAGTATTTGATGTTTTTGTTTTTGATTTGAAATATAAACTATTATGATCATCTGCTTCTTTGCATTGCTTACGATATTCAGCATTATCGTTTTCATTATTTGGTCGATACCATTTTAGAAATGTGTTATTCAATTCATTAGCTGTAGGACGTATTGATGGATCTTCTTTTAGACAACGATCAATCAATTCTTTCACTAAGGGTGGTACCTTAAAATTATTTATAAATGTTGGTCTGAGTCCTTGGCATATTCTTAACGCAAGAAATTGGTTATGATCTATATCATTATGTGGTGGTATTGCTTGAATGATTTCATATAAACATATTCCGAATGAATAAATGTCAGCTGCCAGAGTATAAGGTTTACCTCTTAAAACTTCTGGAGCGACATAAGGTAAAACTCCATAAAGTTCTTTTTGATCACCATTTGCTTGTTTATTTGCAGGACTACATAACCCTAAATCAGAAATGTAACCTCCATCACCACTTAATATATTGCCCAAATGAAAATCTTTATGAATATATCCACTATTATGAATTTCGCTTAGCCCATCTACAATACAATGGATCTTATTTAATTTGGCCCATATTCCGGATTTAGATGGATCGTAGTCATTATCATGTAAATTATTTATGTATTCTCTCATGTTACCACCTTTCACATATTGCATTACCACTATGAAATTATCTGTTGCAGGATCTTTAGAAATTCCAAAACATCGAACGACAAATGTTTGATAAAATTTGTTACAAAGTGTAATCTGCGATACAAAAATTAAAAATGGTTAAATAATAATATTGTTATGTAAGAATATAATAAAAAAAAATCGAGTACCTCTTGTAAAAAATCCGTAGTAATATTATTTGAATCTTTTAGGTATTTTAAAACAACTTCTGCATATTGTTTTCTGTTCCATTTATTATTTTTAATATCCCAGTAACGAATATTTCCATCAATCCAAATTGCTTTATACACTAAACCAAAACCGCCTTCTGCAATAAATGTGATATTCTTAAACTTATCATAAGGTACCCATTCTAATACATCATATGGACCAGTCGCATTTAACTGAATTTGTTGTAAAAATTTATCAATCTCATCATTACCACTAGTCCATAGTTTAAAGTCTTGCTGAAAACGCTTTAAATTGCAGCAATTACACCAATAATTTCCCGTAAAAGGTTGATTACAAACCTCACACAAACCGTTTTTTATATATCGTTCTCTTAAATTTTCATCTGGTATCAATTCATCAATCAATGTTGCTTGTTCTTCAGTTAAATTAAATCGATCAAAACCTTTTATTCTGCTTATGACGTCTTCACTTAGCTTAGATACAGTACTAATATATGAATTCATTTTCTTGTAATTTTGATAAATTGTGATTAGAATAAAATGTCTCAATGTAAAAAGTTGCTAATAACGAAGTATACAGCATACTGTATATATACCGATGAAAAAAAAATTCTGGTTCATTATGTACAATGACATCAATAAACAAACATGAAGGATTTGTTATTCCGAAATGATAATAATTATTACAAATTTGGTAAAAAAATTATTGACCATATTTGTATTACAAAGAACTGACGATTCTTGTGGCACGATAAGTCATGTGATAAAAAAATAATTAAGGCGGCGTTGAAATTTATGTTTATATCTGGAAATAAAAATTGCCCATCTTTGAACCTAAAGCAATAAATTTGGTTGATCGAATTGGAAGTGGTGAAATGTTAAATTTATAGGTCATTAATTTAGTAGTCACAAGGTACAAACTGAAATTTTTGGAGGCAAATTTTTTTTTCTCATTAGTAGGCGCAATATTTTTTCAAAACGAGCTAACGTACTTATAAATAATAACTTTTTTTTTTTTTTTTTGACAAACTATATTGTAAAAACTCACGGCAATAACGATAAATAAGATAAGCCGCATTTATATCAAGAATAAATTTAAGTTTATTATATATTCTGCAACAGAACATAAAATGTTACACAAGTGCTATCTATGAAATCAAAGAAAGAGACAAAATTCGAAAGTGAAGTGGCCGAAGAAATTTTGTTCTCTTTACATCAGAATTAGATCAATGGATAAAGAGAAGAATAGGAAAACAACAATTAAGAGCAACTCTTAATTTTCATTTCACCAAACCGTATTTTTTTATTTTTATATAATTCTTTATTTCCATCTTAAATCTTTTAATACCACTTAACATTTATTCGGTAATTATTAAATCAGATAAAATTACTTGAGCAATAACTAAAATTAAAGTATTAATTAAAGCAATTTATCAGAGACTAAATAATTGCTTGCCAATTATTTTTAATGCAAGGATGAACAGCTTCATTAGCGAATAGGAATAATAAATAATCAACTATAATTTTGGCAAAGCATTATAAATATAAGGTCGGTAATATAGGCAGGTTGGATTTGACATCATCAATGGGGCCTGGCCTAATATGAATACACCTATGTTGAAAGTTTGTGCTCAAATGTACTAAAATATCAATGCAAAAAGAAAATCATATCGAATGCTCATAAATCCTTAAGCTTCTAAAATTGAGAGTCGTAGAACAATGTGGAGGCTTTTGCAGAGAAATAGCCCATTAAACAAAAATTTGAACACTGACCACCTACCAAAGTTACGGACGACCAAAATAAAAACTCGAATACTTATCTCTATCCACGCATAATTACAAGTAAGAAAGGCTTTCGAAGAAATGATTGACTCCGTCTGATAAATTTGCATCAGCACTTCGACTTTTTTTTTTTTTTTTAAAAAATATACAAAAGAAAAATAACAATTTCAAATGATAACAATATTAAACATTCAGAATATTGTGTATATTGGATAAATAATTCAATAGTTGATGAACATATAAAATTCTACGAATAAACAGTTCATAGGAAGAGTTTCATATGGAAATGTTTATCGTATTTGTTGAAAAATAAACGCCTTTTTGCTTGAAACTTTTAACAATGATCACGAATCCATCAAAATGTTGTAAAATAACCTGTAATTATTTTAAATAAATAGTTTACATAAAATACTTAATTTAATATTTCGTAAATTTAAATTGTATCGGAATGTTAATAATCATGAAAATATTATACAGTTATAGGAATCACAATGATTGAACCAAGTAAGAAAGTTATACAGCATATAAGATTTAACCTAACTTACTAACTTAATAATTATTTATATAATAATGTTAATTGATGTGTATTCTTTAGCCTTAGAGTAAGCTGATAACGGTATATTAGACGCTTATTTAAATAAGAACTTTAATAACTTAATTGGGATGACATAAAACTGTTAGCATTTCACAATATTCTTATACATCAGGAAAAGATCAAATTAGCAGAATTTGACTTATCAAAAATTACAGCAATTACAAGTAATGCATCTGTGGACCCAAGAAACTTAAGTAATCAAAGTTACAGGCTAAATAAAAAATCTGATATGAAGAATCTATTACATACATGCACTTTACATAAGCAATTTATTTTAATTAATGATTTTTAACTGTTCTGATTTTTTATTTATTTTCTTTACTACTCTATTATAATAAATAAATTAACAATTCCTTTTCTCTAGAAAATATTTATAAAAAGTTAAATAATTTTATTTTAAAATTCGCCTCTCAGCTTCAAAATAGAATAATTATACAGGTAACTCATAAAGGTAGGAGTTCTTTTTCTATTAGCTTTCTACTGTTTTAAAAGAATTAAATAAAAAAAAATGAATGTTTTTAACATGTTCTTATAATTGAATGATTATTTTTTGCTTTTCAAGTGGATCGGTCTGAAGTTAAAAAAAAAAAAAAAAAACCTGAAAAAATAGTTGAAAACGAAAATGAATAAAATGTCTTATTTAACTGACGCGGTCGAAAAACCTGCATGAAAATAAAATAGTAATAAAATAAAAATTAAAAATAATAAAAATATAAACTTAACGTTAAAAAAAAGAACTTACTTATTTGCCGAATAACTGAAAAAAGTTTAAAAATTAAAAAAAAAAATCGAAAAAAAAAAGAAAGAAAAGAAAAACCTACATTAAGTGTGATCAAAAATCCTAAAAAAAAAAAATAAACCGATTAAAAATAAAAGAATATGCTTAAAAAAATAAAAAAAAAATTGGAATTATAATTCAGCTAAAAGCTAAAAGTCTGAAATGGGTGTCTGAAATTGGATCGATTCGACAGTTCCGAGATGACAGTTACAATTAAACTTATAAAGTTCAAAAACAAATGGAATGAAAAAAAGAGATTTCTAAATGTTGAATGAAAGAATTGGATACCGAAATGGTTTAAAGGCATGTGGTCTTTTTTTTCTGAGGGTTATAACCAATATATAAGGTCTTAAAGTTTTCGACAAGGGAAAAAATTTATATTTTACTATAAAGATAAGGTTTCTTATAAATATTTCAACAGTAGTTATTGCTGATTGGATCAGTAGAACATGATTTTAATATGTGGGACCAGGTCGTTGATGATGCCATATTAGTTATTCGAAGTCTCTTTTGTTAGGGAAATTCAAAACTTTAAGTCATGAGCCACCATTAACAACCGTAAACATCACTATGTGGAGTGTACCTATGATTGCAACTTCAGCTTATGGTGAAAATTAGCAGTAAAGAACTTACAGTTTCGTCGTATACTGAAAAAAACCTTAACAACTACAAATGTAATTTAAGTAATTACACGATGAAACTTATTCTAACCCTAAAATTATTTATAAGGCTAAAGTACCGAACCTAGTTTATGCATTTCCAACTCATCTAACTGCCCAGTATTGCAGTGAAGGTAAACACCCAGATGCATCCGGATTTCCTATTAATTCGGCAAACAAGGTATTCAATTATTGGGAGAGACACCATCGAGGGTTCCATGAAGCCCTGTGAACAAAGTGTTAAAATGACTCCCGATAATCTAAAAGAATTGATCCGACCACCGCCGCAACCGCCTGTACATAACTATCTCAAAGCGATTATAATTTCTGCAGTCGTTTCCATTGCTATAGTTGGTATTTATTTTGGTGGATCATATTATTTAAGTGCATTAGATGCAGTTGGAGCGGTTGATTTTCTTCTTTGCACCGGCGAATTCGCAGAAATGAGTGCAACCTCTGCCGAATATGCTGCTACAATGGATGTTATTGATGTTTCACTGAAGGATCGATAGAAATGACTGAAGAAGAAGCTTGGGCAGATGAGATAGGAAGTCCAATCTATTTAGAAAGATTCAAAAACGTAATGTTGATGCTCTAAAACATAGAATTGTGCGAATCTTCTGCAATGAGACGAATATCGACATATTATCAAGAATCAGAAAACCCTAATATTCAACAAACCCTTGAATCTTTGAGTAAGGCTTCGATTCCCCAATAGTAAATAAGGATACGGGGATACGAGTGTGATAGATAATGTAAGATTTTTTTACGGTTAGCATGGTGAATAATTACTTTTTTCCAAGTTTAATGGACAATGTTTATCAATCATTTACCGGCAACGGGCAAACCTATACAGGTATTTCATCATATCTATCAGCCGCAAGTGAAAATCTCCAATTTCATTTTGAAGATACATTACATAATATTTTTTTGCTGCAAACAAGTCAATATTAGATAGTTTTACTAGTTCAAAGGTGGATTATTTTAAATTACTTAAAAATGATGATGACGTATATAATTCTATTAAAACAAGCACATAAAGTATAACAATATGGCAGCATCAATAATAAGCGATACATTACAAAAGTTTAATGTTGAAATCCAAAAACATTCATTTGCGGACAATCTTGTGATTCTGGTCATATTTAATTGTCGGTAAAACGTTTTTCGGTGAAATTTATGTGTCCCATCGTGTCTTATAGCGGAGCACAACAATATTTACTATTTGTGTTTAATTTAATTTTTAATTTTTAATTTTTTTTATTTTTTTTTTAAAAAAAAGTCGATGAATATTATCGATACTAAAGATTGTCATTCACGTTTGACCTATTATGACATTGAAATTGTTTAATATCACAATTGGGATTATGGGTTATATTCCAACCAGTCTTCGTAGTATTAGTTGAAAATATATCAAAGGTATCTCGAAGAAACTTAAGTTCTTTTATTTGTCCATCTGAGGCACCTATTATATAGTTATCATCGGACAATATTTCACCGACGATCACCGACATTCCAAAAAAAAAATATATATATGGGAGGTAAGCTATTAAAATCACGTTACGGATCATATGATTTACTATGTTCGTAACTCGATTTTAATAGCAAACCTCCCATATGTATATATTTTGAAAATTAAAAAACTACAATATAATTTATATTTTTCAAAATATTTTTATTTATTTATTTATTAATTGCCCATAAACATATTAACTAAATTATAACCTTTTAAATGTGAAGTTTTATTTATTTTATGTAAAATTTTATAGAAAAAGAAATAAACTGTCGACGAAATGATCGTGTCGATGAAATGATGAAAATTTTGTCGGCGAAATGAGTCGGTGAAATGATGAAATGAACCGACCCGTTACTTGATTGTGGAGAAAATAAAGGATTTATATAAATGTTATGAATCTTACAGTGGCGCAGAATCATATTTCGATGTATATAAATTTGAATAACTATCCGTTTTTCATTACTATTTGTGAATAAACTCAGTCAAGTGGACCAATAAAAAAAATTTTATCAAAATTTAAATTCACCCTTTTCTATTGACTGCCACCCATATATCAAAATGTGAAAAACCGACCGTTTATTATATTCAAATGAACATTACAAAATATGATGGGATGGAAATATTCATCTGGACGAGTGGATAAATGACGTTCCAAATATTGTATAATTATGATGGACGTTACTATCAAGCTCCAACCGGAATTAATGATATTGAAAAACTTCGTAAACACTAAAAGATGACAAATATTTAAATTGAAAACAAAAGGAAATATTGAATCGATATAAAGAACAAAAGCGTTACTTTATCTTTCAATTCCAGATAATTACTTTTCAACCGAATTTGTCAAGAGAATTGAAAAATTTAGTTCCACAAATGAATTAATTAAAGAATTTGAGGAAGTTATTATAGATGTGAAATTTGATAAGAAGTGGTTCTATCATGTTATACAACTGGGAGCGAATCACAAATGGTATGTTTTTTGTAGTGGTAACTTTTAATTATTATAATGCAGTTTTGTAATAAACATTTCTTTAGGTATTTGCAAGTAATTCGCTTATCAGAATGGTTTATGGAATATCAATTTTAAAAATCATTAGTAGCTTCTTTACGCTAAAGATGTTAATTTAAATTTAAGCAACTATAACTCGAGACTTCTTGGAATTGATACGATTATCAACCGGGCACATAGAAGATAAGCATCAATTTTCATTGGATTATTTTTAAATTATATCAAGGATATCTAAAATCAAACGATATGGGAGGTTTCTATTAAAATATCGAGTTACGAACATACGTGATTATAATAGCTTACCTCCCATATTATTAATCTTTTTATTAAGGTTTCTAAAACAATATATTTCAACTAAAAGATTCTTTACGTAGTTATGATATTCAGTTTAATATTAAAACCGATATTTTCAAGAAGAAATTTGTCATAAATAAATGTTAGAGAGCAAAAAATGATGTTTATGGATCGCAAACAAATGGGCATTTAAAATATTATTTCTTTTTTTGGTGCTTTGAACTTTGGAGATGACATCATATTGCATCATGATGATCACCTACTTTAAGCCCGCGTTAAAATTTTTTTTTTAAATTTTATAATAAACTTTTTTACGTATAACGCTATAATTACCGGATTGTGTTTCACATAAAATTTTCTGAATATAAGATGCAATGTTGATTCTGCTAATCTGAAAAGATGTGTTCATCTTCCAAATACTTGCTATCAAAAAAAGGTTTGTTGTCCAGAGGGAATATCCTGGATCATCATATTAAGGGCGTATATTATGTCACTCCCGGATATTTGCAACTCTATTGTTTTCCCGGTAGACATTTTTAAATAATTTTGACCTTTTGAAAACCTTGTCATTGTCAATGCTGATTGAATTCGTATTGGTTCTGATTCGATTTGTGCTTGTGGTTGAAATCCAACTCCGGATTGTTTCATAGATAATATCTCCTTCCTAAGATTAAGTATATTTCACAAGCACTGCATAAATTTCCTAGTAAAAAAAATAAATAAAAAGAGCCGCGTGAAAAATATTGCACCTACGTTGACTCCTAGCTCATCACTATGTATAATATTTGCCATTGTGTGAAAGAGTAATGTCATAGTTATATTACTTTTAAGAGATTTAAGTGAATTTAACAATAATTCTCCGGTAGTATACACGGTCACATTTGCCTTGTATTTGAAGCCTGATGATAAATAAATGTTAATAGAAGGTTTGGCAGCAAGTGCATTTCATCTGAGTCGAAGTTACATAACTCATTATTTGTGATGCAGCTTTGCGTAAATAAAACAAACATTGATAATTTGAATGTCATACAAGGTGCATTTATTTAATTTATAAAATTTGCATGAATTTTCAACCGAAATTTCTGAACTAAGTTGTTATATTTAATCGGAAAGTCTAGCTAAAAGAAATAAATATTGTATTTTATTAAACTCACGTTACGGATCATATGATTTACTATGTTCGTAACTCGATTTTAATAGCAAACCACCACCCATATGATTTCATGTAATTCCTTATAATAAATTATTAGAAAAGGACAAATTTCATTGATAATATAATGGATTAATATAATCAATAAGAACTTATACAACCACTTATATATTTTTTTGGAAATGGGCGTAAGCCATTATAAATATTTTAACCTTATTTACTTTTAGAGTCATACAACTAACTCAATAAGGAGTTTTTTTAAAAAAGGAAATATTATTTAGAAAAAATTTTTTTACGGTTGCACCGTTCATAATGAGCAGTGGCATATAAATGTTGCATGATCTACCGAATGCATTTTTATTCTCATCATTTCGCTTGAATTAAAAAAAATCAAAATGCAAGCTTCCAGTAATTCAAATGAATGGTTTGAAGAATATATTTCAAGCAAAGATATCAAATATTATGAATACAAACATTTTAGTAATTTTGAAGAGATTGGTAAAGGCAGTTTTGGACAAGTCTATCGTGCAAATTGGAAAAGTTCAAAGCAATATCTCGCGTTAAAATCATTACATTACTTCAACAATGCCACTGTTAAAGAACTTGTTCGTGAGGTAATTACAAATGCAATTCGTATTTTATTTCATACTATTTATTATAAAATCATTTATTTATAATATATTTTGAATAATTTAGCTTGAATTTCAACGGGAGGTTGATTTTCATTGCAACATCATTCGCTTTTTGGGGATTACAGCATCAAACCAAGGTATAACATATTAAATAATTAAGTTAATTAAAGAATTCGTATTGACTTTTACATTTGAATTTTAGCTCATTTATATATTTTTAAAAAATTAAAACAATTAGAAAATCAATTGAAAAAATATTGGTTAGTAATGGAATATGCT